TTCTTTCTTTCTTTCTTTCTTTCTTTCTTTCTTTCTTTCTTTCTTTCAATAACGGGAAATTCTCACGATGGAGAGAAGTGATAGCAGAACAGTAGAGGTGGTAGGATGGGAGGCTAAGCTATTTACCTTAGACTCCCACATTTGGCTAGACTCAACTTCCCAGAGAAAATAATTATTTTCCAGTATTTATTTATGAGAATAGAACTGAGATGCCATAAAAACAAAAAGGAGTTTCTTAAACTGTCTTTAACTGCCTACAATCTTGAGGGAAGGTGGTAGCAGTGATGGAGTTCTTTGGGGTGGGGTAGAAAAGAAGGTAAGATAGTCCACAGGAAAACCAAAGTCCCAGTTTACTTCAAAATTTAAAAATATTTATACCTTGCATAACTACGACTACACAAATCTAACATACACTTGAGATTAAGTTATTAATTGATGCTTTTACAATCTCATTGTATAACGAAAAATTCAGCTCTAGGTATGTTGTTATTCTTTTTCCCTTTTCATGTTGTTTATTATCAATGTACTCTATGATCCTAGTCAGTTTTTCCCATTATTTAAAAAAAATATGTTTTCCTTTTTATTTTACTCTGTATCTGAGTTCTTTCTTACTACCCTGTCTTTAAACCCCCTTTTTGGTGTCAGCAGAGGTCTTAAGTGATGGCTATTGACTCACTACCTTGTCACATATGTGTGTTCGTCACACATTTGAGTCAGGAGTCACACATTTAAGGGGAGGGAATGTAAAGAATCCAGAGGAGAGAATAGAGATTTTAATGAGATAATTCAACTGATAATATCAGCCATACCACATCTGACTTATCTCCATAAGGATTGAGAAAGTATATTATCAGTTTGATAATTTGTAAATTTGCATGCATATTGTTTGTCCGTATCTATATAAGGTATGTGAATAATTCTTGATCATACACATGACTATGAACGAATACTACAAACATACTTGGGTAGAACTAGTAAACCTTAGTAGATTTTGAAAGAACAAAGCAGGTGAAAGAGGCAGCAATGGTTATTTTATAAGCTGTTTACATAAGTCGAATTTGAACAAGAGTCAAGTCAAACTTGTTGAGAACATTTACTGCTGCCAGCCAAGATTAATGAAGTATAGAACACCTTTGTAAAGAAGAGCCAAGGGGAGTCCAACCTCACTTCTTTGGTGATAGGCCTTTGTTACTGGATTGTCAGAGTCAGGTTGGTTGGAGGCCATTGCCCCTTTCTCTGGGACATCTTGATGGTTAGTAGCACCTGCTCCCCAGTGACTAGCTTTGCTGCACAGTTTGAAGCTGCTTCAGTTTTGTTTTTTGCCTTCTAGCGGTTCTCAGTTTTTTAGTTTTTAAGAAACTATCCTCTAATTGGTATAGGAAGTCTTCAATTCGTCCAACCTAGAAGAAATAAGGACAGAGAATGAGATTTGTTGTTTTTTCCCAGGTTTTGTGTAGTTAGGAAAATGGTGAGGTATTTTAAATTAAATGACACATACAGATCCATGTTGGAACAGAATCGGCGGAGATGGACATGATTGAACGTAAAAGCCTCCTTCTGTTTCCATTTCAGATTCCCCTGTTTTAGGAACATGAAGCAGACATGCAGGAGTTTGCTGTACCACTCAGTCCTATGTACTGGGTATAGAAATGGGGAATATCATCACCCATTATCTTTAATGGTCAGAAAAATCAGGGATTTCAAAAAGAAATAAATGGTGAAAAACTCTACCATTAGCAAAAGGAAGAATGGAAAAACGAATCCACACCCCTCAAAGCCAGAGATTCTAGCATTTGTATGCCTCTGGCCAACTTGGGAGAAAAATGAATATTACACATTGTCTTAGCAAGAACTATTTCTTTTAAATCAAAACAAAATTTTGAGAAAATACATTTTCTTAAAAAATGCCACACCCCAGGGAATAAGATAAAGTAATGATATACAAAACAATAATTCTAAACTATAAGTCTTTCTCCAAAGAAAACTTGTAATTATTCAGTGATGGTTGAATATGTTACACTATTTGTCACTATTTCATTCTGCTAAAGACCTATAGAATAAAACAGTTTACATATATGCTGCATTGGGCTCTCATGAAAGTCTGTAGATGTAATAATTCATACTTAACCTTGACTCCCAGCACCTGCATAGCATATTAGCCTAAAATGACTCACTGAAGAGCCCATTGTCATAAAGTTAGCTCAAAGCTAGAACACTTACTACTCAAGATACATGGGCATATCATCTCCTTAAGATAAAAGCACTTAAACTCTAGTTTTCCAATTTTGAGTTTTACTTTTAAGTCACTTGATTTATCATTTAGGGTGATATCCAAAAGATAATTCAAATTGTCAAAAAGAATAATAAATGGTAGCATTCATTTATATGTTATGCTTAGGACTTCTATTACACTAGGTGATGTAAATTGTCCATTGGTTTCCTTAGAAAAATAATATAATTTACTTTTATGAAAACAATTCTTTTTGAAAACTTAAAATTACTTCAGGCAAATTTCTCCAAAAGCACGTTGTTGTTTATGATGTCTGATCGTTGCATCAATCGTCAAAATCATTTGACAGAATATTTTTGGACTGTCATGAAGTCAGTGAATTATTCTATGTATTTCATACATTTATATTATCCAACTTACACCAAAATCATAAATACAAAATTAACACAGAGAACAATCAAAACAAATGTAATGGATGGCACTTTACCATTACTGCAATAGTTGAGTTGATGACTCACTCATGTTTTTGCACTGAAAATGTGTCATTTAAATCAAAGCTCTCTACAATTAGAATGTTTGCAGTTAGCCCAAATGCAATTTAAAATTACAATCCTAACGCACAAACTTTCTTCAATGATACAGAAACATAATTGTTTTAAAATATCCATTAGGTGGCTATTGTCTTTTTTGCTTTTTAAAGTGTATTTATTAAAAGCAGGGTTGACTAACTGGGTTGCCTTTCATTAGAAAGGACAAAGAAGAAACATAAAATGTCTGATTGAAACAGAGTGCTGTTAAATTAAACTGGAGGTCTAGAGTATATACCATGTGCATGTCTAACATGCCTATGTGTTTACCTCCTACCTGGTCTGTCTACATGTTATGCTTTCAACTCATTCTCCTAATGATACCAAAATGATCTTTTAAAAATGTAAATCTGGTTATGTTTTTCCCTTGCTGGAAAAACTTAAATGGATTCCCAAGCCCTTAATGTGGCCTACACACTTCTGAGTGATCTGGTTTCACTTGCATCTCTAATTATGTCTTCTATCACTCCATTTGCCTCAGTTGTGTAGTACATCTTTCAGTTATTTGAACACAGCAGTGCAGTGTACTCTGTTCCCTTAAACTTCCTAATGTTATACCATGTGATGGATTACTCCCATTGGAAAATCCTTACGTTTCCTCTGGATTTCAGGTTCAACATCAGTGCGTCAGGAACATTTTCCTGGATAATCCAGACCAGGTTGGGTTTCTCAGTAACATATTCCCATTGCAGCCCATTAATCTAGTTGCAAATTATATGTGTACACACACACACACACACACACACACACACACACACACACGCATATATATCTTACTTGATTATAATGATTTATTTAGTATCTGTCTTCCTAACTGGGTTTTAAGGATTATAAGGCAGACTAAGCCCACATTGTCCACTATTCCTATCATTTAGAATATGGTGGACCCTCAATAATCTTCTTTCCTGATAATAGAGAAGACATTCAGAAACTGATCTGTTTTTCCATATTCAAAGTGTTGCCTTGTATGGAGCACATCAGAAGGCTTTATTATCTCTTACAAATTACCTTGAGAGTCTCCAGGCAAGATGACTACAAGGTGTGGTCTCCATACTTGAAACAGAATGAGATAGAAAGGGCACTGGATAAAGAGAGTTAGTGTTGAATTCTGCTCATGGCTTGTAATCCTTGTGGCTTTATAACCCTAATCTATGACTCTCGAAAAGTCACTTGGCCTTTCTGAGCTTCAGTTTAACTAACCTTTGGTGAAGAAAAGGTTGGCCTGGATAATTTCCAAGGACACTCCAAGCCAAAAAATTCCATGACTTGTACTCACATCAGATCTAGGTTAGTTCAGTCTTATGTGAGTCCTCACATTTTTCAAATCACAGGTTATTCTCTTAGATTATACCATTAGATGAATGACACACTATGCAGTAAAGTAAGTCAATTTTAGCTTCTATACTTTCTGAAGTGTAGGAGAGCTGCAACATGTTTTTAGTGAAGCTGGTTCTTTATTTTCTTTTTTACGTCAAGGAAAGAAAAATGCTGGTTGAAGAGAAAATAGATTCATCTAACTAAGAACAGATTGCAAATGATAGAAATTTCTATAAAGCCCTTAGGGAAATAAAACACAAAGAAATATGTAAGCATGTAAGGAAGGAAATGAGCCAGTTTTTGGAGCAACGGCCTTATTAGACTTCCTTTTAGGTACAGAATCTCCTTGCTTAACTATATCAGATAGTCTACTTGGTCATTCTGGGTCTAATTTTCCCATTTGCAAAATGGGCGGATAACATTTTCTTATATATCTATATGTCAATGCTGACTTGGCTTTACAGGGATATGGACATCAGACCAAATGAGCATGCAAAGAATTTTGGGATGTCCGATGATCACAGGGACTCAAGGTGTCAGTGAGAGGGCAGATTCTCACCTAGCACATGGCTATCAGTGATAATTCACATCAAAGGAAATTATTATCAACTAGTTTCTGAGGACCTTTAAATCTTATACGCAAAAATCTGTCAGCCATGATTTAGTATAGATCCAAGAAGTTCAGAATGAAGATGCCAGTGCAACTGTAAGTGAGAAGACAGCTTGAGAAGTATAGGAGATCTTAAAATTCTAACAGTATAAAAGCAAATAATACCAATGAGAGAGAAATGTGGAGGTAGCCAAACAGACCAATTTAAATTACAAGAAAATTTTTAGTCAGCTCAGATTTCAAAGGGAGCACATTTGTTCTTTCATGCAAATATTTATTGAACATTTACTATATACTTGGCACTATAACAGGGTGATAAGCAAAAATATCAAGATATTTGCTTATGAGGAACTCATATTCATGGAGGAGAGAATTAATGAAGAAATGATTGCAATAGAGCATAACTGTTTATGTAAGAATTATGTACAAAAAGTTCTATTAGCAAAAATGTCAGAACAGTGAATTCTTTTTTTTTTTTTTTTTTTTTTTTTTTTTTTTTAGAGCAATGAATTCTATTTGAAGGGATATGGATGTGCATTGGTGGATATAGGAGCTGGCTCTTTGCCAGGATAAGAAGTACGTTTCAAGCTGAGGAAAGGGCATCCATAAGAACAAGGTTGTGAAAGTACATGGGCTATTTGACAATGATAAGTTTCTTACAGCATAGATGTGGGCACCCGGGAACTGGGAGTAGAGATACAGATAGCAGGAAATACTGATTGGAGTCAGCTTGTAAAAAGTTGAAAAATATTTAGCCATGTGGTTAGAAAGTAAATCTGGTAACACTACAGGGAGTGAATGCAGCCAGGGAAACTAAAGGAAGGTGAATTAATTAAGGGACCAGTGTAATAGGATATGGAGAATACTACGAGGGCCTGAAGAAAGAACTTAAGGAACATTTAGGAAGTAAACTCTATAGACTTGATGAAAAATTCTGTGTTGGGACAAGAGGCAGGCAAAATTAGGAATGACTGCACAGTTTCTAACTTGAGATAATGATATTTTAATGAGATATGAAATATAATTAGATGAACAGTTTTAGGGAAAAGAAATGAGTTTGACTAGTGACAAATATAAGAAATAGAAAAACAGTTCACATAATCAGAAATTAACAAAAAAATAGATCTATAATAATAATCTAGTACTAGGCTAAAAGCCAGAATGAAACACAACTCCAAATTAAAAGAAAAACCAACAACCTCTATTCCTCAGTCCACCATGTGAAAAGCATTCTAGTAGTTATAAAGTGCTAAGAAAACAAGAATGATACTTTCAGTTATTCAGAGTAAAAAGGTGATTATTGCAGAGATACGGTATTAGATTGAAGTCAGATATATCTTGTTTGGAATTCCAGCTCCAGCATTTTCATGTGTGAATTTGTGCAATTTTATCTAACTTCTTAAAACCTAAGTTTCCTTTTCTATCAGTTGTTTCACAGGATCTTAGTAGGGTTAAATTAAACAATTTATGTGAATTATTTGCATAGGTCTGAATTACTATTATTTAACAGTAGTATTAATACTTGAATCTGGAAGTGTATGCTTGGTAAATAGAAAAAATGTAACTAAATGAAAAAAATACAAAAGTGAAATAAAATAAAAATATAAACAACTTTAATAGACACTATGTTTTTGGCCTCTACTCTGTGAGGGATGC